TATCAAGGGGTACGGGCAATAATAGAATTGGGGGGTTTTGGCACAGCTGGGGATAAAATGCATTAGCTGCATAGCCAGGCACAAAATAATTTGCTCTCCAACTCTCTCCGCCTCTTCTTTCTATCCATCTCTATATCACAATCACATTTTTTTTTCTCCCGAGGCTTAACCCTCTCAGGAGCTTGGCCAATAAAACATTTCACAAGGCAGCTTCTCTCCTGCCTCTGAAAATAGATGGCAGATAGACAGATATAGTGCAGCCACACAAGAAGTCAGCCGTTTCATTATTTTAATGTTTCACTGCCAGCCACTGAATACAATGAGGACTAGGCCTGCATGTAATGCGTCCATTAAGCCATTACCTTTGCCACTTCATTAAAGATCCCACTCACATTCCCCGCTCGCTCTAATCAAAAGCAGCACAGTATCCGGGATCAATTTTAATAAAATCCTTAACCTTGGCGGCAAAGAGGAAGCTTCTATCAAGTGGAACTTGGATAAAACAATTAGAAATAAAGTGTGACACGTAGACGGGTGAAGTGGTGTGATTTCCAACAGCTTGGGATCATGTGTTCTTTTTTTTTTCCATATATTTTTATTGAAATTTTTTATAGTACAATACAAACAAATGTTGAACAACCTCACATTCACACATCCATACATACATCAGACCTGCCTACATCACATTCAAATGTAGAAATGAGCATAGTTCTCACAGTAATACAAAAATACAATGGGTTAGGATAGACAAGATTTTCCCTTCCTTCCCTTCTTCTTTTCCTTCTTTTTCATAAATGTCCTTCACCTCCACTCCCTAAAATATCCATATATGGCTTCCACATATTCACAAAGTCCCATTGTTTGCCCTTGGCAATATATGTCAGTCTTTCCAGGCCTAGAGAAACTGCAATTTCCTTCTTCCAGAGTCCCATGGAGGGAGCATCCATACTCCTCCAACATAGCGCAATGGCTCTTCTGGCTTGAAGTAGTCCATAGTCCAGTAGTTTAGTTTTTTTCACCGATTGCTTAAATTCCCTTGGATATATTCCAAGTACACAGAGTTTTCCTTTTAAAGGGATTTTTACCTTAAACACTTCGGACAGATATTTGATAACATCTTTCCAAAAGTCCTGGATTTTAGGACACTCCCATAGACAATGAAGAAGAGTTCCTTTTTCAACTAAACATTTAGTACAGATGGCCGGAATATCATTGGACATATGATGAAGCTTGACAGGTGTTATATAGGTTCTCATGAGCCATTTATATTGCAGTAGTTTAAAGCGTGTGTTTATTGTTTGTTTTTGTGCTTTTAAGCAAGCCTGGTTCCAGTCATTTTCATCTATGTCCTCTTGGATCTCCCTTCTCCAAGCATCCAGTTTATCTGCTGCTGAGTCTTTGGAGGAAAGCATCAGTAAATTATAATATATAGAGAGAAAACCTTTCCCTTTTGTATTCTTAATGCATACCTCCTCTATTTTTGTCAATGGTGGAAGCTCAGCAATCCTTTGCAGTTTTGATGACAAATAGTTTTTCAATTGTAAATATTTAAAAAAGTGCTTTGGGGGTATTAAATATTTTTTACACAACTGATCAAATGTGAGCAGCATGCCATCTGCATATAGGTTTTTAATTTTTTTTAATGCCTTTATTTTTCCATATTTTAAATCCTCCATCACTTTTACCAGGCGTGAACTTTTCATTTCCCCAAATAGGGGTAAATTGCGAAAGCGATGGAGGATCGCCCACATATTTATGAGCTGCACGCCAAATTATAATTGTATTTTTCAAGAAAGGGTTCCTTGTATTTTTTTTAATGTCTTAGTGTCTGAAGAATATAGAAAAGTGTGTAAGGGAAGATCTGGAACAGATTTTTGCTCAGGGATCATGTGTTCTTTAAAAAAAACACAAATAGAGCACAGCATGTAATTGGAGCTCTGAAAACTGGCTGAAATTTGGTTTAGCCACAGTAACAGCACAGCTCGAGGCAGCGTTGGTCAGTTAACCACTTCAATCCAGACTGAAGCAGCTCAATAACTACTGGATGAACTGTTATAAATTGCATATCCGGAGGATGAGCGCTAGTGATTTGTCCCGAGAAAGGTGACTAGTAAAATGTCTTGAATGGCAGATTCTGTTTAGGTGTGCGAAACAAACATTGTGCGACAGAATGCTCCCACAGATTTATATACCTGAGGGCCACATCATCCCCGAGAGCTCCCAGTCATCTCTATCTTTTATTATGTCTCTGATGTGTGTCTGATGTCCCTGCAGGTTCAATCTTCCCTGCATACAGACCTTCAGACACCGTCTTCAAGATCACCTTCTGGCTCGGTTACTTCAACAGCTGCATCAACCCCATCATCTACCCATGCTCCAACCAGGAGTTTAAAAAAGCTTTCCAGAGTTTACTTGGAGTTCACTGTTTGAGGACGACTCCCAGACCGCACCACCATCATCAGAGTCAGATGCAGGGTCACGGCCAGCCCCTCACCCTGGGCCTCGACAGCAGGGGGCCTCCTTCTCGGCTCAGCCTCTCCTCCTCCATGGCCCTCTCGAGAACTCCTTCCTCCAGGGACAGCCGGGAATGGAAGGTCTTTTCCGGAGCCCCCGCGGGCGATTCTGGACCAGCTGAAACGAGCAGAGCGAAAGTGGCCAAACTCTGCAATAAAAGCTTACATCGGACCTGCTGCTGCATCCTCAGGGCCAGGACTCCCCCGCGGGAGTCCGGCTGCGCCCACCCCACCTCCACCAGAAACCTTCCCACCATTAAAATCCATCAGCTGTCCCTATCGGAAAAAGGAGAGCCAGTATAGCCACTGTAACGCTTCATCCATTTGTTATGAGTAGCCTTTCAAGGTCGCACATGAGAATAAATGCCCTTTTCCTCCGTTAACATCACAATGGAATGAGCTGGTGGTGAAATAATGGCTGCTTTTACATTTCAATTTCAAATTTCATCTCAGCTTTGAAAGCTTTCTGTGATTTTTTTTTTAATCTTGATGTTATCACAAGAAAGCAGATTTTTAGCTTTGCACTGCAAGATACAGCTAATAAGGGAAACGATCAAATCTGGGAAGTGCTCGCATGAAGAAAAACCAAAAAGAGCAAAAGATTTTCTATATGTTTACACATTTTATATTCAAGAAAAGCAGTTGAAATGTCTAAAGCTGTGACGAGGGGGGCTCTTATATATTGCATGAGTTCGACAATAATTTCTGAAATGCTGATCAGTGGTGCTCCTGTTGTCTCCAGATTTTGCTTCCTGCTCCTGTGGTGAAATTGTTGCTTGTGTACTGCTCTGTACACAGTGGAAACCGAGAGACCTCACATACTTCTGTGTCACATACAATAAATTTGTAAGACATACTCCTAGCAAGGGATTCATGAGGACATTTTTGAACCTTTGTGTTATTTATTCTCTTTGTTTTCTTTTTCTTTTTAAAATGTCCTTTTTTCTGTCAAACTGGGTTTTATTTGCCTAATATATAGCCCCTCAGCATTTCTAGTTCATCTATTCACATTCCCACAATTACATGTACCTCTGAGCTGTGCCAGATGGATGTCTTAATATACTTGAGTGGAATTTTAACTGACCTTGTGGTTGCTGGCCTCAATCCTGACCGACTCCAAGCCTCTTAGAAAAATTTACCAGATTTAGCGATGTCATGATAAGTCACACACAGTCTCAGGCTTTCTTCTCTCAGTCTCTACTCTTTGTGTTTCTGTCCTTTTTTTTGGTTTTTGTTGGGGGGTTTTTTAGCCACATTTCACACAGAAAGAAGATCTTTGCTTTGGCCTTCGTCAGGTCTTCGGTGTGCGCTGTTTAGTGTACTTCTTCTTATGTGAGTGTTCAGTGGGAGTTCCAGACTGCAAAGTGTCTTTGTTTACGCAGAGGCATCAAAGGGCAAAGGACAACCTCTGCCAGCGCTATCGATTTGTTTTCTCCTGCTGCTCACTCTGTAGCACCATGGTGTACTCTCTTTGTGGGTGCGAGGAGGAAGAGATGCGCTCGGCATCTTTAAGCCAGTCTTCCTCTCTGTACGCTGGAGTTCAGTCGTAAAAGGGGAGTCGACAGCTTTCAACCCCAGGGGAGGGACCCGGCAGTGCAGCCGGAGTGCTCATCTGTGTCCGAGCTGTCATTGACTGTGAACCTGTAAATCACACGTCCCTGCGCAGATGCCATTAGGAGTAGAGCTGCCAGCTCCAGCAATAAAGTACAGATGGTACAGATGACCTAATTCACATCTCCCTCTGTTATCTCTCCATAGAGCCCTGGGATTATAAAGAAAAATCTCAACCAGCAAAATACCTGTGTGCAGCGCTTTATAAAGTTATACCATCTTCCAAATGCAATAGCTGCAATGAATACTATAATTAGAACTTAGGGGTTGTGGGAGTCAGACGCAGAGTGGAGCAGATCAAGAGCGATTCTCCTCTGTTTCACCAGAAACACCCACTGTTTTTATCCAGCAGCCTAACACCGTGTATTCAGGGTTAAATTCCAGGGTATGCCATCTTCGCTATTCTTTATTGTGCGTTTGCTCTGATAAACTGCAAAAAAGTGCAGACAATCACTACAATCACTGAACCTGAAGAGGGAATAAATGTAAGGCTTACTGCCTTCACTTACTTGTGGATGATGTTGTGGTCATGACAAATCAATTCTGGGAGGGATTGTGGTCTTATAATAGCACTGTCTGTTTCACTGGATTGACAGCAAAGCAAGTGCTGCTGATGACTCATGGTTGCACTTCCCCAAGAGGGTTTAGCTTTGTAAACTCCCTGATGTGTTTTTTTCTTTTTCTTCCTTTCTAAAGCTTTCATCAGTGGGTGAAGATGTTGACATAATAGGATTCCCCTCTCCGGTTTAATCAGTGCGCTCATCATGCTAAGTCCTAATTGGACAACTGTCAAACAGCCAGGGGCTTCACTCTACATAGTCACAGAAGTTTTTAACTGATGTGAGCATTCAGTGTGACGGAGATGTCATGTTCGGTTCATTTTTGCTGGAAGCATCCCTGTGGGAAGAAGCGACTGAGGAGCTGGAACATAAAAGGAGAGTGAGAACCACAACCCTGTGGCTCCACCTAGTGTCTCACTGCCTCTCTGCATGCACGTCCACATAGATCCTTTTGCAAAGGATTGTTACAGAGTTGCACATCCTTAAAAAAGTCCCCGGAAACGATGGTACAATATATAAAAGCACTAGTCCCAGTGAATCAATTACAGTTAATTTATTTCAGGATATTTTAATCAGGAGATTTACTTAAGTAAAAGTATACAAGATAAAAACAAGCTGAAGGAAAAACCATTTTTAATTATAATAGAGTGAGAAATATTCACGTTAATTACAAATCATTGTTATTAATATTAATTAATTATCTAGAAAATTGCGCCCCTGTTATTAAAGAGCCCTCAAAGTCACATTCTAATAATATTCATATGAACAGAAGATGGACAGTGTTTATTTTCACACCAAATGTAAGGCAGGTTTGCCAACTCTCTCCGTGTCACAATCTTTTGCCTTCTTACACTGCTGAAATAAATCTCACACTGAGTTAAATAAATAAATAAATAAATAAATAAAAGTAATATTAATAAATGATTAAAGCCAGTCCATAATGAATTTATGTTTGGGTCAAAAGGCATATTTTAGTCTTAGCATCAGACACAATAGACACCAGATAATTAAAAAAAAAACTCAACTAAACTAAAAAATTATTTTTAATTAAATGTAATTAATTAAATTAAAGATGCCTGATTTGCCAGTGCTGGCACAGCCCTGCCTGCGAAAGGCTGTTTAATGAGACTCACCAGTGACTGTAGCCTAATCCTAGTTTGACAAAATGTTACCCTGAGGTGTTTTTGTTGCATCCAGCTGTTTGACTTTATTAGAAGTCTTTATTAACACTCACACAGTTGGGACCCCTGCTGTTCGTCTGCAAAGGAAGGCAGTTGCAGCCATCTTTGCATGTGAAATACTCAATCGATTATTCCCCACACAACGAAATAGCATCAGTCAGAACCCAGCGGTGACTCATAATCTAATTTCCTGCAGCAGAGACAGGTGAACCGTTGCACACACTGTTTTTTGGCCTCAGCTTGAGTGCTAAGTCTAATCAGAGTTTATTATTTAATCAGTTTTTCTGTCAAATTGCAAAGCAACTATTTGTTTGCAACAGTGCAAATGTTTTCCCATAACTATAGTGTGCTCTGTAATCATTAGTATTTAAATTAAATGGTCTTTACTAGGCTTAAGGAAAATATAATATTATATAATTTGTATACAAATATACAAATATGTAAGACAATGACAACAATGAAAATACATTTTGTTATAATACAGGCTGCTGTAGTTGGATGAATTATAACACATGTACAGAATTCTTAGTGTAGCGAGTCATTAATTAACAATTTCAAGATCAACACAGGATACTTGAGGCATGGATAAACTGTTGGGGGTGTTTAGTATTATTGTGATGGGTGGGTTGGATTCCACAGAGCTGTAGTAACTACAGAGGGATAAAGCTTATGAGCCGTACTGTGGAGATATGGAAAAAATGTGACAATTAGCGAGCAGCAGCATGGCTTCACGCTGAGAAAGAGCACTACAGAAGATTTGTGACAGAAGGATAGCAGAAAGAGTGAAAGGAAAGGTTTACAAGATGGTAGTGATGTATGGATTGGAGATGGTAACACTGACAAAAAGACATGAGGCAAAGTCAGAGCAACCAGGATGGTCGAGATTAGACAGAATATCTCAGAGGGACAACTCAGGTTGAGAAGTCTGGACATGCAGAGAGGCCGAATAGCATTGGACAAATGGGGGATGACATCATTTTTTATGATGTCATCACCCAGGGAAAATGGGTAAGTGAC